GGTACAGGCTGGAGGCGTGGCTGTAGCATTTCCCGCAGTAGCCGCAGCGATAGCGCCGCTCGTCGGGCTCGGGATCGGCGCGGTCCGAGTCGGCCTCGCCGTCCGGCTGGCCGCCCACCTCCACCAGGATCTGGTGGCGCTCGTCGTCGTCGTCGTCGTCGTCGTCGTCCGACTCCATCTTGATCTCCACGCTCTGCTCGGTCACCTCGCAAGGGTACACCTCCTCGTAGGGCGCGAAGAAGGCCTCGTCCGTCTCGATCTTGAGCTGCTCGCCGCTCAGCTCCGACGGGTCGTCCGAGTCCTTCTTGACGCACGAGATGGTGAACTTGGAGCCCACCTCGGCCCACTTGACCACGTACTCGATGGGCTGCGTGTCCAACTCCACCGTGATGAAGTCGGCGCCCAGAGCGTCCGCCTCCGACACGGTCAGCTGCGCCTCGGAGTCGTCCATCGTCAGGCGGCGAGCCCGGCGATCCCAGCGGCTGCAAGCCAGACGGCACAATTTCAGGGAAGGCGGGCGGACGTATCGGACAACCGACGAGCGGACGGACGGTGGTCGCCGCGGCCCCGCGAACGAGGGGTCCGGTCCCCTCCCTCTCACGTTTGCCACACGCATGACGAGATCGAGCTCGCTGGGCGCCTCGGATGAAATCGGCTCTGGTTTCTCGGGCCGCCGGCTTCCGAAAGCTTTGTCGCGTTCTTCGCGCTCGGACGAGGCAAGCGAAGGCCTCACAAGAACGGAGGCCAAACGACATCGCTTGTCATCAAGTTGCGTCGAGAAGCATTCGAGGACGAAGTGATCGCGGCTCGCCGTGACGTCACCATAAAGCAGGCAGGCTGCGAGAGCGGCGCATCCATTATTCAAATCGCTCTCGTCGCCAACTTATTCGCGGCGAGCTCGAGCGCCGAACGTTCGGGAAACGCGCTCGAATTCCTCCCGAGAGTTCGCGCGCGTCGCAAACGTCGGCGTCGCCGCCGTCGCGAAAGGCGCGCGCAAAAGGTCCCCTTTCTCAATGAAGTTCCAGGGCTCGGCCGGGCTGGCTCGGCGGCAGCGACGAGGAAAACGGCGGAAGGATCCCCCCCGCCACCATTTCTGGTTCGTGGCGGCTCGTCAAGCGAGCGCAAAAGACGACGGCGGCGGCGCGCCGGTTCACCGCGACGAACTTTGGCGTTTCGGGAACTCACCGAGTAGGAATTCGTCAAACGAGAAGCCTAAGGTTGCCGGCGGAGACGCTCACAATAAACAGGAAGAAGCGGACGTGGACACAAAGCATTGTGGGAAACGATTAAATGGTTCCCGGCAACGGAAGCGCTCCTTCATAGTAAAAGCGCGACCTCGAGTAGGACGCGTGCGCACCGGGGCTGGAACGCACGCAACCAATAAATGAAAATAAGACAGACGTGCGGAGGCGACTAGAAACTCGTTCATGTTTCATGTTGTGACCGGTCGCAGACTGAGAGCGCCAAGCGAACGTTGGCGCGGCCGGAAGTGGCCAACGTATGTTAATCGGCACCGCGCTCCGTGGAACGCGCTCTCTGATTGGCTGAAAATGGCCCACCTCAAACCCAAGTCGACTGACAGCAGCCAAGAAACAGTTCGGACTTTTTCGCGTTGGTTTAGAAGCAGATGGCACTCGCGTCCACCTCACATGGTCGACGTAAATACGTCACGTGAAGCTCATAGAGCCGCTTTCCAACCAATCGCAGGACGATGAGGAACATGACTTTTGGGCAACTGTCGTCTATGGCTTCCATTTGACACCCGTCAAACCTCGCGCTTCATCTGGAAGGCACGGCGGCGTCGCGCTCCGTCGGTCACGGACGGGAAAGTGTTGCGAGTGCCGGCGGGCGGCAGGACCGGACGGACGGACCGTTCCGGTGCGTGTGCCGCCTCTGAAGCTGCTCCAACATGATTGGCTGCTGACCAGGAAGAAGCAGCGCGAAATATGCCCCCCCCCAACATGATTGGCTGCTGACCAGGAAGAAGCAGCGCGCGTTCTGCCCACCCCACCCATTGTGCACGTTTGACTGGGGGCCAGCTTGCTGAGCTAAAGCGACGTGGCGGCCATGTTGGCGGGTGCAATCGCGTTGCCATCAATGGCAATGCTTGACTAGTCGCCGCGGCGTTTTTAGAGAACACCGGAGCGGCTGTGCATCATTCTGCTGCCATTCGAAGCGTCCTGTGAAGCAGACAGACAAGTAGGTGTGCCTGAGAGGCAACAACATGACCTCCAAAACAGGAATAGTTTTACAGGTCGAGGCCACTGACGTTTTTTTTTCCCCTCATCTTTTCCACTAGTTTTGTATTTGGTC